GCTCTGTAGAGGGCTGACTAACTCCTCACTACTAAGACAAAGGCCAAATTGAGTAAATTAGTCATACACAGTAGTTGAGTATATTTGTGGCTAATTTTCAACTTTTTTTTGACCTGCCATTTACTATGACTAGGCCCACTAGGTGCCCACACATAAATCCATTTTGATTAGTTATTTTTACTGACTCAACACAGATCTACAGTCCATTATAGAATCCAGGCCACTTTATACTGAAGGCCAGCTATATCTGAATGTAACTAAAACTGATGGAACATTTCCTTTAATTATTCACTTTGACATTGCTGAATATCAACACACTTTGACATCCCTTTCACTTTAATGTTTCAGTTTCTTGTAAGGAGAAAGAGGTAGGATGAGATAATACGATTACATGATTTGGGGGGCGAGAATATTGAGCGTGAAATTAGCACGATGTACCTGAATGTCATGTGGATTCAAATTTTATGAAGATTAAAGAAAGATTTAGTCCGATTTTATATGGCTGTTTAAACACAGTGACCCTAAAGAGACGCTCTTTCCTCCATAAAATTGGATGTTACAATTCATTAGCCTCCTCTGCATTTTAGTCTTTTTGTGTCATTTTATTCTTACTTTAAAGACTGCCGCCCTTTTGGTCACTTTCCACATACTGTATGAGAAAGGTAAATGGGTTCAAGGTTTAAGTAATGCTGGTCTGTTTTCTTCATGCTTTCCTCCTGTGTCTCCTCTTGTCTACCTCGCTACCATCAATGGTCTACTCCTGCTCACATGAGGCTTGTTCCCACAGTTTTCCGAGAATGTTTGATTCACTGATACTCTCTCCCACATCAGAAATGTCCAGTTCCAGTCTCATGCATAATGCATCCAAAAAAAAAGAGCTATATCATGGTACATGCAGTAATATCATGATAATTCACTGAGATAATCCAGCATGTGAATTTTAACATTAGAAATTTATTCTTGCTTATTGCATACTACTTATGCACATAAAGTACACTATAATGTGTGAATGTGTTTTCCTACGTTATTTTTTAACAGAGACCAAAAAGGGTATTTTTGGCCCAGTTTGAATAATCTGTGTGAATTTGTTGTGTGACTGTACTGGCTCTTGTGTTCCCTCAGGTGCCCCAGTCATCGTAGGAATGAGCATCAACATCGCTAGCATTGACTCCATCTCAGAAGTGAACATGGTGAGTTACGAAATCCCTTCTCTTACAGTAGCCCTGTCCATATAGTACATCCACTCAATGTTTCAATTCTTATTTATAAGGGTACCTAGTTAAAGTATGATGCACCCTTTTATAAACGCCATTAGGGTGTAGTGCGGTAATATTTTGTATATACTGTATACAGTGGGGGAAAAAAGTATTTAGTCAGCCACCAATTGTGCAAGTTCTCCCACTTAAAAAGATGAGAGAGGCCTGTAATTTTCATCATAGGTACACGTCAACTATGACAGACAAATTGAGATAATTTTTTTCCCAGAAAATCACATTGTAGGATTTTTAATGAATTTATTTGCAAATTATGGTGGAAAATAAGTATTTGGTCACCTACAAACAAGCAAGATTTCTGGCTCTCACATACCTGTAACTTCTTCTTTAAGAGGCTCCTCTGTCCTCCACTCAGTCACACTCCAAACTCCACTATGGCCAAGACCAAAGAGCTGTCAAAGGACACCAGAAACAAAATTGTAGACCTGCACCAGGCTGGGAAGACTGAATCTGCAATAGGTAAGCAGCTTGGTTTGAAGAAATCAACTGTGGGAGCAATTATTAGGAAATGGAAGACATACAAGACCACTGATAATTTCCCTCGATCTGGGGCTCCACGCAAGATCTCACCCCGTGGGGTCAAAATGATCACAAGAACGGTGAGCAAAAATCCCAGAACCACACGGGGGGACCTAGTGAATGACATGCAGAGAGCTGGGACCAAAGTAACAAAGCCTACCATCAGTAACACACTACGCCAAAAGTTTCTCAATACTTTGTTATATACCCTTTGTTGGCAATGACACAGGTCAAACGTTTTCTGTAAGTCTTCACAAGGTTTTCACACACTGTTGCTGGTATTTTGGCCCATTCCTCCATGCAGATCTCCTCTAGAGCAGTGACGTTTTGGGGCTGTCGCTGGACAACACGGACTTTCAACTCCCTCCAAAGATTTTCTATGGGGTTGAGATCTGGAGACTGGCTAGGCCACTCCAGGACCTTGAAATGCTTCTTACGAAGCCACTCCTTCGTTGCCCGGGCGGTGTGTTTGGGATCATTGTCATGCTGAAAGACCCAGCCACGTTTCATCTTCAATGCCCTTGCTGATGGAAGGAGGTTTTCACTCAAAATCTCACGATACATGGCCCCATTCATTCTTTCCTTTACACGGATCAGTCGTCCTGGTCCCTTTGCAGAAAAACAGCCCCAAAGCATGATGTTTCCACCCCCATGCTTCACAGTAGGTATGGTGTTCTTTGGATGCAACTCAGCATTATTTGTCCTCCAAGCACGACGAGTTGAGTTTTTACCAAAAAGTTATATTTTGGTTTCATCTGACCATATGACATTCTCCCAATCCTCTTCTGGATCATCCAAATGCACTCGAGCAAACTTCAGACGGGCCTGGACATGTACTGGCTTAAGCAAGGGGACACATCTGGCACTGCAGGATTTGAGTCCCTGGCGGCGTAGTGTGTTACTGATGGTAGGCTTTGTTACTTTGGTCCCAGCTCTCTGCAGGTCATTCACTAGGTCCCCCCGTGTGGTTCTGGGATTTTTGCTCACCGTTCTTGTGATCATTTTGACCCCACGGGGTGAGATCTTGCGTGGAGCCCCAGATCGAGGGAGATTATCAGTGGTCTTGTATGTCTTCCATTTCCTAATAATTGCTCCCACAGTTGATTTCTTCAAACCAAGCTGCTTACCTATTGCAGATTCAGTCTTCCCAGCCTGGTGCAGGTCTACAATTTTGTTTCTGGTGTCATTTGACAGCTCTTTGGTCTTGGCCATAGTGGAGTTTGGAGTGTGACTGTTTGAGGTTGTGGACAGGTGTCTTTTATACTGATAACAAGTTCAAACAGGTGCCATTAATACAGGTAACGAGTGGAGGACAGAGGAGCCTCTTAAAGAAGAAGTTACAGGTCTGTGAGAGCCAGAAATCTTGCTTGTTTGTAGGTGACCAAATACTTATTTTCCACCATAATTTGCAAATAAATTCATTAAAAATCCTACAATGTGATTTTCTGGATTTTTTTTCCTCTCAATTTGTCTGTCATAGTTGACGTGTACCTATGATGAAAACTACAGGCCTCTCTCATCTTTTTAAGTGGGAGAACTTGCACAATTGGTGGCTGACTAAATACTTTTTTCCCCCACTGTATGTATGATATACAGTATACCCCACATGCGACCCGTGATAAGACTGTGCAGATAATATTAACAAAGCCTATTAAAATGTCTATAATCTAACCCATAAAGATGATCTAGCAATGTGCAAGAGACTATAGTCGAGTTACAGTAATATCAAGAAAGGGTACAAGGGTCATTTAATTAGTTTCATTTGAGTGTTTGCAACGCAATACCATTTCAATCAGTCATATTTGCCCTTGCAAACATTAGATAACCATAGACATGTTGTGCATCTGTTTTTCTTGATTATATTACGCAGTTAACTTGTGTTCATTAGAGAGCGGTGAGAAATCAGGCACAGTCTTGTCCATCTTTAAAGAAGACAATATGGCTGGTGTCTCAGCAATGACATCATTCTGTCGCTCTCCTCTCCCTTGTATTAAAAAAAATTCTGGTATTCAATGTGGCACAGTCACACTCAGAGCTCACTCCACCCACAAGCCAGAAGAGCTTTGCTATTGTGTTTTGGGTTTCTTCTCCCGGCAACATTGCCATATGGGGTCACTAGAGGATTTTCATCCAGTTTCAAGCAACATCAGATTTTATTTTTTTATTTGTTAGAGGTAGTCACTAACGTATAAAGCTGTTTTCTTTCTTTTTAAATGCATGCGAGGCCCTTTGATTTATTAATCTTGAAGTTATTGCAGAGATTTATTTTGTACTCTGGTGTTTTTGAAGACACAGCAACTTTTAGCTTATGTTTTATGTTATTTTGGTTTCCCTGGACATTGGAGAAGGCAGCATCAAGTGCAAAGCTGAAAAGGTTGAAAAAAGTTCAGGTGAACAAAGACAGACAGAAAACAATATGACATTGTCAACTTGGAAAACTCTTGATAATCACAACATGTACGTTATGTCTAACGCCATAACTCATCTATTTTAGCTGTTTGTTTTTGTACTTTATCAGCCAGCCAACATAGCCATAGCAAAGGAAAACCAAATTTCACCCAAAGAAATTGCAATCAGACAAAAGCCATGTAAAACAAAGATACTTTGTGTTAATATTTAATTTAATTATATTTTTTCATGATGCTGCAAATATATATATTTTTTATGGACAATATGGAATAGCCTTTTCATAGGGTAAGACTGAGAGAATGTAGGTCATGTCCAGCTGACTAACCACTGAGATTAGCTCTCAGTCCGCTTATAAAATGTGTCGTACATTATGGTTCACTTGTATTTTAAGACAATTATATATTGAGATTTCGGGACACTGAGGTTCCCAGAATAATTGGCAGCATTTATCATGCAAAATTCAGAAGTACTGTACTGTCATCGGAGGATGTATTAATCTTAACTTGGCCTTTAAATCACTTCCCTGTACGTCTTTCCTTTTCATTATAGTTCCATTGTATCCTAGAAAATCACTGTTAATGCTTTCTGATATTCTGTGCACATAATGATTATGATAATAAATGTAATGGCTGATACATTTATGCACATTAGGTAGTATGCGCATGGTGTAGGATAGGGCAAGTACAGTAGGGGTAACTTGTACTTCCCATAGTTGGAGCTTTTGTTAATGCATAACAACTAGTTATTCTCAATCTGACAGTACTGTTTACCCTTTTTCAACAGGATTACACCATCACAATGTATTTCCAGCAAAGTTGGCGAGACAAGCGGTTGGCATACGCTGAGCTGCCCCTCAACCTGACTCTGGATAACCGCGTGGCGGACCAGCTGTGGCTCCCAGACACCTACTTCCTTAACGACAAGAAGTCCTTCCTGCATGGTGTGACAGTAAAGAACCGTATGATTCGACTGCATCCTGATGGCACTGTGTTATATGGACTCAGGTAAAGCTAACTTTCACTGGAATTCTACTGTACCTAAACTGGTTAAAGCCTGGTCTGTCAGACAGGACTGGAAGAGACCTTGGGAACAGTGAGGCATGGGAGGAACTAGGTCTATGTCTAAATAGTATCACGACCCTCCCGCCTTTTCACGTTCCTTACTTCCTTCCTTCCAAGAAAATAAAAAGTCCAGAGAATCACTGATGAAAGCACAACTAACTTGAAATATTTTGCTGAATTGCTGAAGCCAGAATTTAATTGTAAGTAGTTGAGGCGGCAGGTAGCTTAGTGGTTAAGAGCGTTGTGCCAGTAACCGAAAGGTCGCTGGTTCTAATCCTCGAGCCGACTAGTTGAAAAATCTGTCGATGTGCCCTTGAGCAAGGCACTTAACCCTAATTGCTCTGGATAAGAGCGTCTGCTAAATTACTAAAATGTAAAATGTAGTTATAGCCTACCTTGACAATGACATGCTAATACCTCACACGCAGTCAGGTACATAAAGATGAGCAAAAAAGACTGTATAATACAAATACTGAGCTATATTGATTGCTCCAAAAAAAGGGTATGTTATATTATTTTGTACTAATACAATTGCTCAGAGAAAGGGATTTTGTTTAACAAGTAATATAAAAAATCAAAAAAAGATAGGTGGCAGAATTATTGCCACCCGTTTTCAGAACTCTAGCATTCTTCCCTTGTGAGGATAACGACACTGAGCATTTTTCTAAAATATTTTATGAGATTGGAGAACATGCTTTTCTGCATATGCTTCCGTTTTTCATGTCATCTGACCATAGCACCGCCTGGAGTTTAATAAATGCCATTGGCACTTGGATTGGAACCGGTGCTATGGTCAGACGACATGAAAATAGAGCTCTTTGGCCATGCACACCAGTGGTGGGTTTGGTGTTGAAAAACAGAAGCATATGCAGAAAAGTACATCATACCTACAGTAAAATATGGTGGTGGATCTTTGATGTTATGGGGCTTTTTTTCTTCCACTGGTCCTGGGGCTCTTGTTAAGGTCAACGGCATCATGAACTTTACCAAGTACCAGGACATTTTAGCCCAAAACCTGGTTGACTCTGCAAGGAGGCTGACACTTGGCTGCATGTGGATCGTCCAGCAAGACAATAACCCCAAGCAGGAATCAAAATCCACAACAAAAAATGGTTAATTGAAAACAAAATCAACATTTTGCAATGGCCATATCAGTCTCCGGACATGAACCCCATTGAAAACCTGTGATTAGAATTGAAGAGGGCAGTTCATAAGCGCAGACAAAGGATATCAAGGATTCTGTATGGCAGAATGGTCTAAGATCACTTTTTTATTTCTCTGAGCAGTATAGATAGCAGTAGTATAAAATAATATAATTTCCCCCTTTTTTGGAGCATACAATATAGATCAGTATTTGTGTTTATAAAGTATTTTTTGCGCATCTTTATCAAGGGTGTCAATAATTATGAACCTGACTGTACATATGGTGCACATGTTTGTGTTTTTAAATCAATTAATTTCAATTAACTCTATTTCTGGTGCATCATTTGTCTCTGGTGAATGGAGGCCTTAGAGGACAAGACAGAGAGTCAGTGCTCTTTGGGTTATATAATGCTGATTTGCTTTGGCCAATTATGTTTGTTGATTTGTTCCACAGGGCAGTCCCATTTTGAAATGTTTCAAAGCTAAAAACAAATTCAGCTGCAAATGTTAATTATAGGAAGCTTACAGCTAAAGGCACAGATGCTGCTGAATGGCTACATGACTATGTTATGCCACTGCTATTACCTAATTCCACTCCACAATCAGTGGAGATGGCATTTGGCTCTTGTCATGCGCTTTCCTTATTGTCTAGAATATTAAATATATCTTAGGTAAGCCTCTGGAAAAGGATTTTGTTATTTTCAAGAATGGGGGACTTTGCACATGCCCATTGATATGAAATATCATGATAGCATTATGGCAGTGGTCTCCATTCCCACATGAAAAAATACTATAGTATACAAGGGTATAAATACTATAGTATACAATGATAGAAATACTATATTATACAATGATATAAATACTATAGTATACAATTATATAAGTACTATAGTATTCACTGTAGTGTTTTTGCAGACTTTACTAAAGTCAGCAAAAACACTATAGTGAATACTGTAGAATTTACTGTAGTATACTGTAATATTTACAGTTAACTATAGTATAAATACTGTAGTAAAAGAAAACGTAGTATATATTGTAGTAATTAATGTAGTGTTTATGTGGACTGTACTATACTGTAGTATTTACTGTAGTGTTTTTGTGGACATTACTGTAGTATTTGCTATAGTTCTATTATCTTTGACATAGAAGTGGAGGCTTTCTCCTTGAGGAAACTTACTGGAAAAATAGTCAAAAGTTTTGAGAATGACACAAGTATTGGTCTTCACAAAGTTTGCTGCTTCAGTGTTTTTAGATATTTTTGTCAGATGTTACTATGGTATACTGAAGTATAATTACAAGCATTCCATAAGTGTCAAAGGCTTTTATTGACAATTACATTAAGTTTATGCAAAGAGTCAATATTTGCAGTGTTGACCATTCTTTTTCAAGAACTCTGCAATCCGCCCTGGCATGCTGTCAATTAACTTCTGGGCCACATCCTGACTGATGGCAGCCCATTCTTGCATAATCAATGGTTGGAGTTTGTCAGAATTTGTGGGTTTTTGTTTGTCCACCTGCCTCTTGAGGATTGACCACAAGTTCTCAATGGGATTAAGGTCTGGGGAGTTTCCTGGCCATGGACCCAAAATGTATATGTTTTGCTCCCCGAGTCACTTAGTTATCACTTTTGCCTTATGGCAAGGTGCTCCATCATGTTGGAAAAGGCATTGTTCATCACCAAACTGTTCTTGGATGGTTGGGAGAAGTTGCTCTCGGAGGATGTGTTGGTACCATTCTTTATTCATGGCTGTGTTCTTAGGCAAAATTGTGAGTGAGCCCACTCCCTTGGCTGAGAAGCAACCCCACACATGAATGGTCTCAGGATGCTTTACTGTTGGCATGACACAGGACTGATGGTAGCGCTCACCTTGTCTTCTCCGGACAAGGTGTTTTCCGGATGCCACAAACAATCGGAAAGGGGATTCATCAGAGAAAATGACTTTACCCCAGTCCTCAGCAGTCCAATCCCTGTACCTTTTGGAGAATATCAGTCTGTCCCTGATGTTTTTCCTGGAGAGAAGTGGCTTCCTCGCTGCCCTTCTTGACACCAGGCCATCCTCCAAAAGTATTCGCCTCACTGTGCGTGCAGATGCACTCACACCTGCCTGCTGCCATTCCTGAGCAAGCTCTGCACTGGTGGTGCCCCGATCCCGCAGCTGAATCAACTTTAGGAGACAGTCCTGGCGCTTGCTGGACTTTCTTGGGCGCCCTGAAGCCTTCTTCACATCAATTGAAACTCTCTCCTTGGAAGTTCTTGATGATCCGATAAATGGTTGATTTAGGTGCAATCTTACTAGCAGCAAAATCCTTGCTGTGAAGCCCTTTTTGTGCAAAGCAATGATGACGACACGTGTTTCCTTGCAGTTAACCATGGTTAACAGAGGAAGAACAATGATTTCAAGCACCACCCTCCTTTTAAAGCTTCCAGTTTGTTATTCTAACTCAATCAGCATGACGGAGTGATCTCCAGCCTTGTCCTCGTCAACACTCTCACTTGTGTTAACGAGAGAATCACTGACATGATGTCAGCTGGTCCTTTTGTGGCAGGGCTGAAATGCAGTGGAAATGTTTTTGGGGGATTGAGTCGATTTTCATGGCAAAGAGGGACTTTGCAATTAATTGAAATTCATCTGATCACTCTTCATAACATTCTAGAGTATATGCAAATTGCCATCATAAACACTGAGGAAACAGACTTTGTGAAAATTAATATTTGTGTCATTTTCAAAACTTTTGACCACGACTGTAGGTAGGTAGGTAGGACTGGGATCTGAGCAGATAGTTCAAAGCTTCTGCCCTTTTCTATAACTTGTAGCAAACACAATCTATGCTTGGCATGTAGGTTTCTCACTTATGGGTAGCACAAATTGGTATATTGGGGAGTGGGATGGGCGGGGTATATGCAAATTAAATACTGTAGTATATACAATGCCTTCAGAAAGTATTCACAGCCCTTGACTTATTTCCAAAAAAATTGTATGACAAGGTGGGATTAAAATGGATTTAATTTTAATTATTTGTCAATGATCTTGTCACGCCCTGGCTCTGGGGACTCTTAAAAGTTGAGCCAGGGTGTGTAGTGTCTGTGTTGTGTTTTCTATGTTCATGTTCTAGTTTGTGTATTTCTATGTTGGCCGGGGTGGTTCCCAATCAGAGGCAGCTGTGGCTCGTTGTCTCTGATTGGGAACCATACTTAGGCAGCCTGTTTTGCACAGTTCATTGTGGGATCTTGTTCCTTAAGGTTTGTTTTGGTGTGTTTTGGTGTTTAACCTAGGACTTCACGTATCGTTTTATTGTTTTGTTATTTGTGTATAGTACTCATTAAAAGTACGCATATCACGCTGCGCCTTGGTCCGCTTCTTACAACGATCGTGACAGATCTACACAAAATACTCTGTACTGCCAAAGTGGAAGAAAAATAAAAATAAAATTAAAATTAAAAACACTAATATATCTTAATTACATAAGTATTAAACCCCCTGAGTCAATACATGTTAGAATCACCTATGGCAGCAATTACAGCTGTGAGTCTTTCTGGGTAAGTCTCTAAGAGCTTTGCACACCTGGATTGTACAATAATTGCACATGATTATTTTTTAAATTCTTCATGCTCTGTCAAGTTGGTTGTTGATCATTACTAGACAGCCATTTTCAAGTCTACCATAGATTTTCAAGCCGATTTAAGTCAAACTGTAACTAGGCCACTCAGGAACATTCAATGTTGTCTTGGTAAGCAACTCAAGTGTATATTTAGCCTTGTGTTTTAGGTTATTGTCCTGCTGAAAGGTACATTTGTCTCCCGGTGTCTGTTGGAAAGCAGACTGAACCAGAATTTCCTCTAGGATTGTGCCTGTGCTTAGCTCCATTCTGTTTTTTTTTTTCCTAAAAAAAACCTCCCTAGTCCTTGCCGATGACAAGCATACCCATAACATGATACAGCCACCACCATACTTGAAAATATGAAGAGTGGTACTTAGTGATGTATTGTGCTGGATTTGCCCCAAACATAATGCTTTGTATTCAGGACATAAAGTTCATTTATTTGCCATATTTTTTTGGCAGTTTTACTTTAGTGCCTCATTGCAAACAGGATACATGTTTAGGAATATTTTTTATCCTGTACAGGCTTCCTTCTTTTCACTCTGTCATTTAGGCTAGTATTGTGGAGTAACTACAATGTTGTTGATCCATCCTCAGTTTTCTCCTATCACAGCCATTAAACTCTGTAACTGATTTAAAGTCCCCAACTCCCCATTGGCCTCATTCATGGTGAAATCCCTGAGCGGTTTCCTTCCTCTCCGGCAACTGAGGTAGGAAGGACTCCTGTATCTTTGTAGGGACTGGATGTATTGATACACCATCCAAAGTTTAATTAATAACTTCACCATGCTCAAACGGATATTCAATGTCTGCTTTTTTTTAACCCATATACCAATAGGTGCCCTTCTTTGCGAGGCATTAGAAAACCTCCCTGGTCTTTGTGGTTGAATCTGTGTTTGAAATTCACTGCTCGACTGAGGGACCTTACAGATAATTGTATGTGTGGGGTACAGAGATGAGGTAGTCATTTAAAAATCATTTTGAACACTGCACACAGAGTGAGATCATGCAACTTATTTTGTGACTTGGTAAGCACATTTTTACTCCTGAACTTATTTAGGCTTGCCATAACAAAGGGGTTGAGTACTTATTGACTGAAGACATTTCAGCTTTTCATTTTTATTAATTTGTTTTAAAAAAATCTAAAAACATAATTACACTTTGGCATTATTGGGTATTGTGTGTAGGCCAGTGACAATTAAAATCTCAATTGAATCGATTTTAAATTCAGACTGTAACACAACAGAATGTGGAAAAAGTCCAGGGATGTGAATACTTTCTGAAGGCACTGTACTATAGTAATTACTGTAGTGTTTTTGTGGACTATAGTGTTTATGCAGACATTTCTATAGTATTTACTGTAGTGTTTTTGCGGTCTGTAGTATACTGTAGTATTTACTATAGTATTCTACAGTTTACTACAGAATTCTATAGTAAGTACTGTTTGTATTCTATATATAGAAAGCTGTAGTATTTTGTCATGTGGGGACTTCAGTATTAATGAGAGAGTTTGATGATGTTTGGAAGTGAGAGGGGGAACTAATAGGCTGGTAAATGCTTACTTAATATGTCTCTTGGTGAAATCAGCTGTAGGTGCAGGGGAGGGCGGGATGGAGGGGTGGAAGTGGTAGCAGCTTCTCCTGCTGCCCAGAGGGAGTTGGTGAAAAGGTGGAGGGATGAATTGAGGACAGAATCATAAAGTGAGAACAGAATCATGCCTGTGTAGAGTACCGAATGAATCTAGGGCAGTGGTATTGGTACTGGTATTGGTAGTGGTATATAGGGCAGCAGGTAGCTTAGTGGGTAAGAGTGTTGTGCCAGTAACCGAAAGGTCGCTGGTTCTAATCCCTGAGCCGACTAGGTGAAAAATCTGCCGATGTGCAAGGCACTTAACCCTAATTGCTCATGTAAGTCGCTCTGGATAAGAGCGTCTGCTAAAAATGTAAAATGTATTCAAAGCTGGGGTAGCGGGGAATTGCAGATGGGGTTGACAAATTAAGAGTGAATGTATTTATTGGTTCTCTTAATTTTGATAAGAGAGAGGAAATGTAATGAATTGAAGGTTATTCGTTAATGTAAAAATCTAGATTCACCGATTTTAAGATTGTGTCATTAGATTTGGGGTGAGGTGAGCCTCTATGACTTATCATAAAGACCATGACCCCTTTACTTCACGGGAAGATATATTCATACTTTTTTGTTGTTGTGTTCCTGTTAATTTGATTGATTGACATGTGAGCTTCTCTTACAGTTTAAGCCTGGAGTGTTTTCAGCAGGCATGACACATGGACACAACATTGTTTTGATTGTGCAACAGAACGAATATAGTAGTCACTATAGTACTGCACAAGACAAACAAATATAGCGTACCACTTATTCCTGTTTATTTTGATTTGCTGGGATGTGAGGAGGAGGAGGCACATTTCCCATCCAGAATTCTGTGCCCCAGAAAAAAGCAACAAAAAACCCTTCTAATCCCTCATCACCACAATGTCCCAGTTTCATCAATGAACCAGCCCAGACAGTGAGTCTGCAGTGAGGTTCTCACAGAGACCCACCCAGATGACTGGGGGGCTGCTGGGGGGAGAGGAGCATCCTGGGGCCCTTTCAAAGTAACACAGCAGCCGAAGCCCCAGGGGTCACAGGCTTTGTTTCTTCCCCCAACATGTTGCAGCTTTGGTTTACAGGAGTCATGTACAGTAAAGTTGTGAGATAGAAAACAATGTGCAGTGCAGAGTGAAATGCCCTTGGTCTATGATAAAGCCGGAGGGCAGTGATAATGAGGTTATGTTGTGTTGGGCCTTGGGGAGAGTCAGAATACCTTTGCGACGGCATTATGCCTTAACACACCAAAGTGAAGGTTGTCAAAAAGTATGTCATCACAAAAGGTGACTTACTGGATGGAAATGTGTTCTGTTTTCATCATGGTTGTATAGCCCCTGCAGAAAACCCCACATTGTTTTGGTATTGCACTCTATACACTTCACCAGTACCTGTGTATGTGTTTGATAGTAGTTATAGTGGCTTGTATTAGCCTGCACACTGCAAACCTCTTGCTTTGTGCTGAATTGTCCAGCAGCCTGGAAGACAGCATGGACTCAGGCATCTTAAATTATGGATCGGAAATGTAAAATAGGCTGTTGTAAAGGGTCTCTCCCCCGCCTCCTAAAACACACAAACACACAAACTGTGTACCTATCAAACTCTCTCCGTGAATGTGGCAGTCGATCTGACACACAGGGGTGATGAGTTGTAACTCAATTACTTTTTCCATTCAGGCAAACCAGTGAGCTCCCTGTTTCATTTAAACAAGAAGCCTGAAAACAGGCGAAAGATGGTATGATTTAACAGAACAGATGTAATTATTAAAATGTGCTGCACTGGTAAAATCTGTAACCAGTGTGATTTTCCTGGGCTTCTGGATTTATGGAAATGAAATATAATGAATATATTTATATATAGCAGTCAATCACAATTTAGTGTGAGATTAAAGCACATACTCAATGCACAGGTGCTAACATTTTGCTAAACATTTTCTACTGATTCAATGTATCCCAAGGGAATAAAACAAGCTTGGTAAATTGACTTTCTGCATTTGATTGTTGGCTTTTGGGCTTGAATGAATTAGATGTTTACATTCAACATTACCTATGGTTTGTACCTATGGTTTTGTTTGAAGTTAGTGGTTTAACAGTTTGAATTCATTCAAGATGTTTCTATGGGTGGAAGTGTAAATATGTAGCAAACATCTCCAGTGTTTGAGGTTGCTGTCACAACATAGATTAGGGCTGTCATAAGGCCTATGTGAGCACAAAAATGCTACTCACTGAGACACATTCATTTTGTATTCCAACCTCTCTCTATTTGGAATCCACTTGCCTCAGTCAGAACACATTCCCAACAACCTCACCTTCTGCTATTTCATTCATTTAAAATTCATAAAGAGCTGGCCACGGCTATTATGGATGGTCTCAAACAGTTGGCCAGATTATGAGAAACGAACCCACGTATCTTTCTCTCCTTCCCCCTTCCTTTCTCATCCCTCGCTCCTAAGAAATAGACCTTGGACAGGTTTGTATGCAACACTAGTCTGCCAATGATTGCATTTCCTTTTTCCTTTTTTTTCAATACGAGACAACTGCCTAACATTACTCATTTAAAGATTCACATCGTGCAGTCAAGGCTAAACTACGATTTCTTAAAGGTTACCAAGGTAACAGCGGTTCTATCTACCCCCCTTTTCTCTCACCCTCTATGTCTCTGCTCTCCTTTTTTCCAGAATAACCACCACAGCAGCTTGCATGATGGACTTGAGGAGGTACCCGCTCGACGAACAGAACTGCACCCTGGAAATCGAAAGCTGTAGGTGGACTTAATACAAGCGTCTTCTCCCCCCCATTCCTCCCCACTCTGGCCAAGTAACACCCCCCCCCCCTCCAACAACTGCCTGCCTGGGCTTCTCAAGGATCTCAGCAGGAATGTCATCCTGACATTTTCACTGGGTAACACAGCAAGGGACAGCCCATGATTGCAGGCAGTTAGTGTTTTTTATAATTCAGCACACGTCTCTCTATACATTTCAAGCAAAAGCCAACCTTTAGACCTGTCATACGGTACTGTATGTCTCTAGTAGCCTGTTGTTTCTGTCAATATATACAAAACATATTTGGAATTTAACCTTTTGCAGTATGGGTTGCAGATGGGTAATTCACATATTTTCTGAAACGAGTAGTCTTACAATGCATTATAACTGCATCATAATGTGTTATACCTGCAAGCGTTAGGTGTTACTGAGAGATGAAACCCAAGTAATTCGGCCAAAATCCTCCATACAGTCTAACTTCAACCTCTAGCTTAGACTCCCGGGTGATTCTGATGTAGCTTAGACTCCCGGGTGATTCTGATGTAGCTTAGACTCCCGGGTCATTCTGATGTAGCTTAGACTCCCGGGTCATTCTGATGTAGCTTTGATCTGGGGTGGTTTAGGTCTGGGCAGGGCTGGTGTAGCTTTGACTCTGGGCTGATTCTGGGTGCAGTCCTCAGAGGCCTGCTCTCAGCAGATGTGATCATTATGGATCATTTAAAGGCCTGCTCTCAGCAGATGTGATCATTATGGATCATTTAAAGGCCTGCTCTCAGCAGATGTGATCATTATGGATCATTTAAAGGCCTGCTCTCAGCAGATGTGATCATTATGGATCATTTAAAGGCCTGCTCTCAGCAGATGTGATCATTATGGATCATTTAAAGGCCTGCTCTCAGCAGATGTGATCATTATGGATCATTTAAAGCAGGATTGGCCAGCGTTATTGGCATCTCTGACTCTGAATGCCATTTCTTATAGATGCTTTCACTCCAAGGGCAATGACTGCATTGACAGAAGCAGGTGAAATGTAAAATACTTGCTTGTATTTCAATTAGAAGTCGTTACGTATTGACCACTGAATGCAACTAGAGCAGGCAGATGGACCCACTCTGTTGTAACAACATCAATGCTCCTTTCATGGCAAAGCAGCACATAGGCATGGCATTGGATGGATTTCTTTATTCGACCCAAAAACAGGATACACTTGATTTTACAACCCTGAGTAAAAAAATATTTATCACATCCTAACATATACAGTGAGGGGAAAAAAATATTTTATCCCCTGCTGATTTTGTACGTTTGCCCACTGACAAAGACATGATCAGTCTATAATTTTAATAGTAGGTTTATTTGAACAGTGAGAGACAGAATAACAACAAAAGTCCAGAAAAACGCATGTCAAAAATGTTATAAATTGATTTGCATTTTAATGAGGGAAATAAGTATTTGACCCCTCTGCAAAACATGACTTAGTACTTGGTGGCAAAACCCTTGTTAGCAATCACAGAGGTCAGACGTTTCTTGTAGTTGGCCACCAGGTTTGCACACATCTCAGGAGGGATTTTGTCCCACTCCTCTTTGCAGATCTTCTCCAAGTCATTAAGGTTTTGAGCCTGACGTTTGGCAACTCGAACCTTCAGCTCCCTCCACAGATTTTCTATGGGATTAAGGTCTGGAGACTGGCTAGGCCACTCCAGGACCTTAATGTGCTTCTTCTTGAGCCACTCCTTTGTTGCCTTGGCCGTGTGTTTTGGGTCATTGTCATGCTGGAATACCCATCCACGACCCATTTTCAATGCCCTGGCTGAGGGAAGGAGGTTCTCACCCAAGATGCGGTGAAGTTGTCCTGTCCCCTTAGCAGAAAAACACCCCCAAAGCATAATGTTTCCACCTCCATGTTTGATGGTGGGGATGGTGTTCTTGGGGTCATAGGCAGCATTCTTCCTCCTCCAAACACAGCGAGTTGAGTTGATGCCAAAGAGCTCGATTTTGGAGTCATCTGACCACAACACTTTCACCCAGTTCTCCTCTGAATCATTCAGATGTTCATTGGCAAACTTCAGAAGGCCCTGTATATGTGCTTTCTTGAGCAGGGGGACCTTGCGGGTGCTGCAGGATTTCAGTCCTTCACGGCGTAGTGTGTTACCAATTGTTTTCTTGGGGACTATGGTCCCAGCTGCCTTGAGATCATTGACAAGATCCTCCCGTGTAGTTCTGGGCTGATTCCTCACCGTTCTCATGATCATTGCAACTCCACGAGGTGAGATCTTGCATGGAGCCCCAGGCCGAGGGAGATTGACAGTTCTTTTGTGTTTCTTCCATTTGCGAATAATCGCACCAACTGTTGTCACCTTCTCACCAAGCTGCTTGGTGATGGTCTTGTAGCCCATTCCAGCCTTGTGTAGGTCTACAATCTTGTCCCTGACATCCTTGGAGAGCTCTTTGGTCTTGGCCATGGTGGAGAGTTTGGAATCTGATTGATTGATTGCTTCTGTGGACAGGTGTCTTTTATACAGGTAACAAGCTGAGATTATAAACTACAAGAAATGTCTGACCTCTGTGATTGCTAACAAGGGTTTTGCCACCAAGTACTAAGTAATGTTTTGCAGAGGGGTCAAATACCTATTTCCCTCATTAAAATGCTAATCAATTTATAACATTTTTGACATGCGTGTTTCTGTATTTTTTTGTTGTTGTTCTGTCTCTCACTGTTCAAATAAACCTACCATTAAAATTATAGACTGATCATTTCTTTGTCAGTGGGCAAACGTACAAAATCAGCAGGGGATCAGATACTTTTTTCCCTCACTGTACAAATGTGAAACCGCCGATGCATACAGGGATCGATTCAGACATAAGAAATGTACGCCTTTCCTATGCACTCCTTTCCCACGCACTTCTCAGTAGTTGGTATTCAGACTTAGCTTATGCAGGTGCGTAACGGGCTTTGCAGGCGTGGTTCCCTTGCGCACAATGAATACATTTAACTCAACCACTGAAAACACTCCCACTTGCTGGCCAACAGATTTTCTCGTGGAGTTTTCATTCCATGGGGTTTTCAGTACATTTATCTTAAGCCATCCCTTTAAATACAGTGTACCTTTAATTATAATTTTGTCGACAGACTCACTAGAGTACACCTAATATGATCCTCTAATGCTAGCGACCCTCAGGAACAACTACACAGACGTGACAGAGGAAAGAAAGGTAAACGGAATGGAATGATACAAAATGTAGGCAACAAATTGAAGGAAACGAACACTAAAGTGACAGTTATAAATGTATGTGGGTATTACTGACGGTGACTCCCAATAGTGGATAATATTTAACATGATACAAATTGTAAAATAACATTGAAAAAAGGCTGAGCATATAATTAAAACATTCTGAAGCGCATACATCAACTGGGCAGGTTCGGCCCTACAGAAGCCTATAGCTTGGGTCTCCAAATTTCATCCACGCAAATTATGAGGGCATACAATTACAATTCAGAATAACGGTACAGCTATTTATAGCCTACTTCACTGTGGAAAAGGGGCCGCAATACATGTCATGTTGATTTTCAGTTTGCTTCTAAATATGACTGGTTTCACATTCGTCTCCAGGGATCATAAGACAAAGTAATTGAAAACAATTGCTATGTGCCAAAACATGCCAAATGCATAGTCATAGTTCCTGGACCTCTAACTTAAAAAAAATATTACAAGTGGATGAATGGTGGTCCGGTGCTTGCTGCTATATGACCCTGGACAGAGAGCTGGCACAGCCAGAAGGCAGAAGAGGGGTAATTCAATGTATAATACAGTATAGGCACCTATATCCAGGGAATGTAATTGCAGTGAGGTTTAACTTTACAGTGAATGTGTGAGGCAGCATATTACCTGAACCACACTACATAAATCTATCTCATACTTCTCACTTTGATTCCACTGGCATTGTAATGGAGCCCTGGAGACACTGGCAGACTCACCATTAGGCAGAAGAGGCAATTGCCTCAGGCCTCACATAATCAAGGGGCCTCATGAGCTGGGCCCCTTGATGATACTGTATATATACACTACCGGTCAAAAGTTTTAGAACACCTACTAATTCAAGGGTTTTTCTTTATGTGTACTATTTTCTACATTGTAGAATAATAGTGAAGACATCAAAACTATGAAATAACACATATGGAATCATGTAGTAACCAAAAAAGTGTTAAAATATATTTTATATTTGAGATTCTTCAAATAGCCACCCTTTGCCTTGATGGCCGGTGTAGGCCGTCATTGTAAATAAGAATTTGTTCTTAACTGACTTGCTTAGTTAAATAAAGGTTGAAAAAAATAAAAAAATTAATGACAGCTTTGCACACTCTCTGAATGAGTAGGTGTTCTAAAACTTTTGACCGGTAGTGTATAAAAAATATTAAAATAATCTCTCTGTTCAAGGCAAAATAAATAATATATTTTAAAAAATCCCCATCAAAATCTGTCTGTTTAAGATAGAGATATCTGTTTTGCATGGGCCACTGCATCCACAAATGTCGGCCTTCCACATCTGCGGTGGAAGGTGGCAGATCTACAGCGGTGTTTGTCAGACCAGGAGACATGTCGAATATCGGTCTTCTCATGAAAACATCTGTAGCGTCCGAACGGTTTGGCCTAGAAATTAATATGACCCCTCTATGGAAAGATGGGACTCTCACGGACACGATGGAGGTGTCCGTTACTGGGCCAAAAAAATGAATGGAAGTGAATAGGGCATTTCCACAGTAAAAAATCAAATTAAAAAATCTGAGCAGTTTATAGGACACACACTTCAAAATATACTTCCTTTTGATTGCATTTTTTACTATCTGTTTTTATGAATCTGTTATTCAATGTGTTTCTATGGGATAATCTGACCATAACTCTATCCTCCTGATTCCTGCTTACAAGCAAAAACTCAAACAGGAAGTACCAGAGCCGTACTCAATACGGAAGTGGACCGATGAAGCACATGCCTAGCTACAGGACTGTTTCACTTGAACAAACTGGAATATGTTCCGGGATTAATCCGATGGTATTGAGGAGTTTACCACATGAATAAGTGCATTGACCACGTCGTCCCCACAGTGACAGTACGTACATATCCCAAACAGAAGCCATGGATTACAGGCAACATCCGCACTGTGCTAAAAGCAAGAGCTGCAGTTTTCAAGGAGCGGGACACTAATCCGGATGATAATAAGAAATCCCGCTATACCCACCGACAAACCATCAAACAGGCAAAGCGTCAATACAGGACTAAGATCGACTCCTACTACACCAGCTCTGACGCTCATTGGATGTGGCAGGGCTTGCAAACTATCACGGATTACAAAGGGAAACCCAGCTGCGAGCTGCCCAGTGACGTGAGCCTACCAGACGAGATAAATGCCTTCTATGCTCGCTTCGAGGTTAGCAACACTGAACCATGCATGAGAGCACCAGCTGTTCCGGACGATTGTGTGATCACGCGCTCTGTAGCCAATGTGAGTAAGACCTTTAAACAGGTTTAACATTCACAAGGCCGCAGGGCCAGATGGATTACAAGGACGCGTACTCAGAGCATGCGCTGACCAGCTGGCAAATGTCTTCGCTGGCATTTTCATCTCCCTGACCCAGTCTGTAATACCTACATGATTCAAGCAGACCACCATAGTCCCTGTGCCCAAGAACGCCAAGGTAACCTGTCTAAATGACTCTTGCCCCGTAGCACTCACATCTGTAGCCATGAAATGCTTTGAAAGGCAAGTGGTGAGGGTAGGCAACAACACATGTGCCACGCTAACCCTCAACACGCGGGCCCCTCAGGGGTACGTGCTTAGTCCCTTCCTATACTCCCTGTTCACCCAAGACTGCATGGCCGCGCACGACTCCAACACCATCATTAACTTTGCAGACGACACAACGGTGTGTAGGCCTGAACACCGACGACAATGATAGGAGGAAGTCAGAGACCTGGGAGTGTGGTGCCAGGACAACAACCTCTCCCTCAACGTCAGCAAGAAAAAAGAGCTGATCGTGGACTATAGGAAACGGAGACTGCTGAACAGTTAATCAAATGGCTACCCTGACTATTTGCATTGACCCCCTTTTTTTTGCACCAGCTCTATGCACATTCACTGGACTCTACCCACACACTCATACATATTACACTGACACTCCAACACACACATACTCACACACACATGCACACACACATGCACTACATACGCTCACACAAAACACACACACACATGCACATTGATGCCACACACAAACACACTCACAAATAGACACACTTTCACACTCTTTCACACTCTTCACATACGCTGCTGCTACTCTGTTTATTATCTATCCTGATTGCCGAGTCACTTTTACCCCTACCTACATGTACATATTATCTCAATTACCTCAACTATCTCGTACCCCTGCACATTGATTCGGTACCGGTACTCCTTGTATATAGCCTCGTTATTGTTATTTTATTGTTACTATTTCCTTTTTTATTTTTTGCAAATTTTGCTTACTTTTTAACTCTGCATTGTTGGGAATGGGTAAAGTCTATACTTGTTCTATTCGGCGCATGTGACAAATAAAGTGGGGGAAAAAAGTATTTAGTCAGCCACCAATTGTGCAAGTTCTCCCACTTAAAAAGATGAGGGAGGCCTGTAGTTTTCATCATAGGTACACGTCAACTATGACAGACAAATTGAGATTTTTTTCTCCAGATGATCACATTGTAGGATTTTTAATGAATTTATTTGCAAATGATGGTGGAAAATAAGTATTTGGTCACCTACAAACAAGCAAGATTTCTGGCTCTCACAGACCTGTAACTTCTTCTTTAAGAGGCTCCTCTGTCCTCCACTCGTTACCTGTATTAATGGCACCTGTTTGAACTTGTTATCAGTATAAAAGACACTTGTCCACAACCTCAAACAGTCACACTCCAAACTCCACTATGGCCAAGACCAAAGAGCTGTCAAAGGACACCAGAAACAAAATTGTAGACCTGCACCAGGCTGGGAAGACTGAATCTGCAATAGGTAAGCAGCTTGGTTTGAAGAAATCAACTGTGGGAGCAATTATTAGGAAATGGAAGACATACAAGACCACTGATAATCTCCCTCGATCTGGGGCTCCACGCAAGATCTCACCCCGTGGGGTCAAAATGATCACAAGAACGGTGAGCAAAAATCCCAGAACCACACGGGGGGACCTAGTGAATGACCTGCAGAGAGCTGGGACCAAAGTAACAAAGCCTACCATCAGTAACACACTACGCCGCCAGGGACTCAAATCCTGCAGTGCCAGACGTGTCCCCGTGCTTAAGCCAGTACATGTCCAGGCCCGTCTGAAGTTTGCTAGAGTGCATTTGGATGATCCAGAAGAGGATTGGGAGAATGTCATATGGTCAGATGAAACCAAAATATAACTTTTTGGTAAAAACTCAACTCGTCGTGTTTGGAGGACAAAGAATGCTGAGTTGCATCCAAAGAACACCATACCTACTGTGAAGCATGGGGGTGGAAACATCATGCTTTGGGGCTGTTTTTCTGCAAAGGGTAAAGGAAAGAATGAATGGGGCCATGTATCGTGAGATTTTGAGTGAAAACCTCCTTCCATCAGCAAGGGCATTGAAGATGAAACGTGGCTGGGTCTTTCAGCATGACAATGATCCCAAACACACCGCCCGGGCAACGAAGGAGTGGCTTCGTAAGAAGCATTTCAAGGTCCTGGAGTGGCCTAGCCAGTCTCTAGATCTCAACCCCATAGAAAATATTTGGAGGGAGTTGAAAATCTGTGTTGCCCAGCGACAGCCCCAAAACATCACTGCTCTAGAGGAGATCTGCATGGAGGAATGGGCCAAAATACCAGCAACAGTGTGTGAAAACCTTGTGAAGACTTACAGAAAACATTTGACCTGTGTCATTACCAACAAAGGGTATATAACAAAGTATTGAGAAACTTTTGTTATTGACCAAATACTTATTTTCCACCATAATTTGCAGATAAATTCATAAAAAATCCTACAATGTGATTTTCTGGAAAGAAAATTCTCATTTTGTCTGTCATAGTTGACGTGTACCTATGAAGAAAAATACAGGCCTCTCTCATCTTTTTAAGTGGGAGAACTTGCACAATTGGTGGCTGATTAAATACTTTTTTTCCCCACTGTACATTTGGATTTGATTTGATTTGTTCTCATACAGTTTAGCTAAGTGGGTGACAAAAGCTTAGACCATGTTATATACAGTACCAAGGGACTGAAGGCCTATTTGCCTCTGCTTTGGTCCATTCTGCTTCCCTAATGTCAAAGGTGCGAGATTCTGCCAGTACTGAACCTGTTCATTCTCCTCTCATCCCCTCCCCCCATTCCCTGTAACCTGAGACAGATGGGTACACCACAGACGACATTGTGTTCTACTGGCATGGAGGGGACACTGCGGTGACGGGGGTGGACAAGCTGGAGCTTCCTCAGTTCTCCATCGTAGCACTTCGCCTGGTGTCCAGGGAGGTCAGGTTCACCACAGGTAAGGCCGCCACACCTCATATCTGTGCTGAAGGGTTAGTGTGCCATAAGAATTTATTCTCAGAAATATGCAGAAATACATTTTAATGATCCTGTGTATACATATTAGTTATTTTTCAACTTAACAATGATAGAATGTAGGTTTGCTTGTAGGATGAGTTAAATTGTCAGTCCAGTTCCACTCACTGTTTTGTGTTATTAATGTTATTCCAATGGGTAGCACTTCCAACTAGCTGCTTATCAATTCAGAGAACGTTGCCTGCAGAATATTTTAAGTAATCTCCATGTGACAGTTAACTTGAGTTCATTTAGTAGTCTAGTCTTTAAGTAGTCTTGCCCTTGTGTGTGCACTTGTTTATTTAGATTCACGAGGTACAGCAGGAAGGAATAAAATATGCCCGGATATTGATTCATTAAAAGATTTACCGGACCAGGGAGATGAAAGGGTCATTTCTCATTGTGTGTAGCACACAGTTGATTGCCTTTTAAATGAAAACCATCATGGCTATCTTAGGCCCTTTCTTTCATTTTGATAAAGTGGTCATACAAACTCCCTTGAGGGAATTAGTTGTGCATTCATAGCGGTAAACAGTTCTCTCTAGCTGAAGTAGGGGAAAGTCAAAGCCACAGGGGAATATCTTTCTCATTAACAACTTGTTGTTGAGCTTGTTTGAATAATCAATACATTCAATGCAACCAATTAATGTCTCATCATAACGAGCTGACATTTTTCTCTGCAACATGCATTAATGTTAAGCGCCATAGGTTCACCCCACTAGCTTCATCACAGTCTCATGTGGGTTCCTCCTCCCCACTTAAGTAGTGAGAAGACGTGCTCTCCAATTACGAGCCTTTTTAAATCCCCTTTTGGTGATATTTAGAGGACAGAGAAAGTGCTAAACAGAGTAAAACACAGCAGCTCTCCGTGACAATTCTCAGAGGGATGCTGGAGCTGCCTGCTGAGATGGGGGGTTGCAGAAAAATCTGCTGTGTTTGCGACTTTCTGCCATGTTTAATTGGAATCGAACTTGTCCCTGGAAAGGAATCCATTGCTTTGGGGAAATGAAGTGCTCCTTCTGAACGAATGGAGAAATGACTACCCCGCGCATTGTCAAAGTGCAGACTTTGGAACTCATAAGTTGTGCCAGCGGTTCTTCCTTTTCTGCACTGATGTGTTTCCTCTGCCCCTCTCAATCACTCTATCACTCCATCACTCCATCCTCTCTCCTTCTCTCTTGTTCTCTGTGAAAGGTTCCTATCCCAGGCTATCATTGAGTTTCAGGATTAAAAGGAACATAGGCTACTTCATCCTGCAGACATACATGCCCTCCATCCTGATCACCATCCTCTCCTGGGTCTCCTTCTGGATCAACTACGATGCCTCTGCAGCTCGGGTGGCCCTGGGTAAGAATCCATCTCCACTGCAATGTTTCAGCAACACAGAGTATTCCCAGTGAACACAGTGGGCAACGGTGTCTTCAACGTTTCTCACAAGGTTGCTCTAACATTGCAGTAACTTATGTTGCTACTGCAGTACAAAATGCTACGTACAATTTTGAATCAGGATAAACAGATTAGTAACCATCTCCCACTTACACAAAGGAGCCATTACTACCACTCATAATTTTCACTTTTCATTGAAAACAGAAAGCTACGAATCTACCCAGCAGGAGCAACGTGTCAAACAATGTTTAGAGGCGCACAAACTTCCCACTCAAAATCCTTACATTGCATTTTGGTCTTCCTGATGACCAAATACTTTACTTTAATGGTGATGACTACTGATGTATATCTAATAATAATGTATTTATGTTTGTGTTTGTGTTTGCGATTTCCAGGTGTTACAACGGTGCTCACCATGACAACCATTAACACCCACCTTAGGGAGACCCTCCCAAAGATCCCGTACGTGAAAGCCATCGACGTCTACCTCATGGGCTGTTTTGTGTTTGTGTTCCTGGCCCTGCTCGAATATGCCTTCGTAAATTATGTGTTCTTTGGCCGGGGCCCCCAGCAACAGAAGAAAATCCACGAGCGGCTGAACAAAACCAATAACGAGCGCTCGCGATACGAAGAGAAGCGCCTGAGGGAACAGGTTTGCATCTTCAGCTGCCTTCTTTCTCTCTGTATCAGAATCAGAATCCTAGTGTAAAACAATATTTTGTTTTCTTTGAGAATCCCTAGCACAGGCATCTGTTATTTTCACAAGAATACGAAATACGCTTTCCTCTATGTTGGTTTGGCATAAGACAGTACTTTCACAAGCCTATAGATGCTACCTCCACCAGATACATATCCAAAAACCATCCTCCATTGCTTTTCCTCCAGCACTGACTCTTTGATTTTAATGAATATCGTTTTTTGGCATTGAGATATACTGTAGCTGTTCATTTTACTACATTCCCATTCTCTTCTCAGGTTGTTGTCTTTGTTTTTGCTGTGGACTTGATTCAGTCTTACCACTGTGCTGTCCTGGGAGTTGCATTTTTACTAACATTCACCCACTTTTGTCTAATTTTAATGGGTATGCAGCCAGAAACATTAGTATTCAAGGGAAAATGCTAAAACGGTCCGACTGAATGAAGCCCCTTGTCTCTGTGTCTGAAATATGACATGCCATGCTTATGCAAAGTTGTTCTTGTTAGCCTTATGTTTATGCATTCTGTATTTTTAAGATGTGCTTAATTGTCAGTGTTTTATAGGCGTTTAATGTTCTCTTAACTTTTTTTTTTCATTGCAAGGACTCCATTGCCACGCCGTTTCAAACCAACACCCTCAGGTCATATACACAGAGAAGAAATCTGTACCTCGAGGAGCAAAGAAAAGTTGGGGTACATGCATTTAGAAATCATATGAGCTGTGGGACTGCAGTCTAATAGAGGTCTGCTAAAATGGTTGATAGAGTGATGGCAATTAATTTGTGTCAATTTACTCTCAGTGAAAAAGCACCGTAAGGCACTAGCTATAAGGGAGAAAATGGGAAAAGTGCATAAATTCAGAATTCTTTAAAGAGGCATGAAAAGATTACATTTCCTTCCACATCATCATTACGTTTGCTTTAGCTTGAAAATTGGACATGAAAATGAAAAGCTGGGTGGGTGTAGATTATTATTAGGGCAGTTTGGGGTAATGTCACTGTGTTCTGCTTCTCCCTGACGTTCTCTCTCTCCCCTCCTCTGTCCTCCAAGGTGGACGCTTACGGGAACATCCTGCTCACCACGCTGGAGATGAATAATGAGGTGATGCCGTCAGACGTGGGAAGTAGTGTCAGTGACTCCCGGAATTCAGTGATGTCATTCGACAGCTCTGGGGTCCAGTTCAGGAAGCCCATGGCTCCCCGCGATGGCTTCAGTCACCACTCACTGGACCGCAGCGCCATGCGCAGCAGGGCCAACTGTCGGCTACGACGGCGCTCTTCCAAGCTCAAGCTGAAAATCCCTAACCTGGCAGATGTCAGCACCATTGACAAATGGTCCCGGGTCCTTTTCCCCATCATGTTTGGATTTTTCAACCTAATCTACTGGCTGTACTATGTGAATTGATGTGAATCCCACTAGGAATCATGGGCCATATTTTGAGAGCACATTAAATTGGCTTTGATACAGTTGGAAAATATGTATACACATGTACAAGTTGATACATATGTATATGCATATTTCTATATATTATATTTATATATACACGTGTGTGTGTAAATCTGAAGGACTTTTCTCCTGTATAAAGCATTATTAGAATGACTTGAATGTTTAAGAATAATTGCGAGAGAAACTTTCAAGCCTTTGAATTTTCTCCTGAAACAAACAAACAAACTAACTAACTAACTAACAAATAACCATCAGTTCCCTTGGGGGGATTTTGGAACTAAAGACTGCATGATATTTTTGCTAAAAAGAAAGCGAAAGCTCTTGAGAGAAGAAATGTCTCAGAGTCTCATTGGCTTTTTATTGATACTCACTGTAATCAGCATCCTCTACCGCAGCTCATCAAATCAGAGGTGGCTTGTGTGTTCAGGCATCGGCAGAGTCAAGTCCCTAATATCCAGCTTCCCCCCCCCCCCCATTTCCCATGGATAACATGCACGGAATTCTCCAGTTCTACTCTGTACAGCAACCTTGTTCGGATTATGTGTCGTTCCTTGGATTTTTCAGAGTGACATTGTTCTCTTTATGGGACATCAGCTCTGGTGGGGCCCATCAGGATGGGATGTTAGACCACTGTGTTCCTGCCCAGAGTCAGTGCAAACTTCTCTTCATTTCTCTTCTCATGTTTGTTTTTAGAGCAGTTCTTTGGGGTATTTTCTTTATGGTTATAAAGATGATGATTATTGTAATTATTATTTTGTCTTGAAAATAATGTGTTTTTTGGGAGAGTGTCACTTGTTTTAGAGTTACTGCATTATTAGGAAAAGAGTCACAGGTATGAATTACTCATTTTGATTGTTTGAAAAATAGACATATACTGTACATTTGGTCATCCAGTATCCTCATGGACATAGTTGGCTAATATAATTGTACTCTTTCTTTAACTTCCTGTGCTTGATTCATCTATAGATACAGTATTCATTGCCTCATATCCAGCTTTGTGTTCTGTAAGGAAGGAAGGACAACTATAGTGAAGGATTGAAAGTTATTCCACTATAAAGATGTGAGAAAAAAATATTGTGTATTAAAAAAGAGATTTCGCCATTGTTTATTTGTTTGATATTGAAATCAACATATCATCCCATTGTTTGACCTGCTGTTGTATGTACTACTCTCTCACTGTAAACAACAACAAAAATAATCACCCTGAGAATGTTGGGTATGTATATTATAGTTCCTATGAAACATGCCTGTCTTAAATTCTAATTTACTCAAATTGATTATTTATTTAAGGGTTGTAGCAGGGGGCGGGGGGGGGGCAGGATTAGAAAAAAACTCAACCTCTCACACCCAGTAGCTCTGAAAACACTGCAGAGCCACCCACCCTTCAAATGTCTCTGAGGATCAAACCCCAAAGATCAGAAACATCATCAGAATCTGAAAAAAAGGTTTTAAGTTTCTAGAGGCAAGACAAGATGTGTGATAAATAGCCATGAACTGAAGAGACAACCAAAAAGGCCTATAATCCCCATCTTATTTTTTTATTTTGCTCTAAAAGTCACTCAATTCCATTAGCTCAGATCCACTCACCAATGAGATGTCCACTGCAGCGTTGATGCCATGTCATGTTGATCCACACTGTACATTTACAGGATATAATTATTTGGGTCTGTCTAGAGTGAAGAGGAGAGCAAATGCATTCATATATTAAAACAGGCATTTACAGACTATCTCCATGTTCAAACTAGTATCACTTTGATTCAACAATGCAATGAAGTGCAGTGCATTTGAATATTCATGCTGAGGAATGCCACATTCCTTTAAGATTCCTCCAAGATTTAAATGAAGAGAGCAGAAGGCACATTTCCGTTGTTGGCTGTAACTATGGACATTAAAGTTGTATTGTAAATGTGGTTATGATTGAAACATCTAGAATCAGAACCTACAGGGTCTGCATGGTAATCAAATGGCACCAGATGACCAAGGGAGGCAAAGTCACAGATCAGATACAGAGGTAGCCAAGAAAAAGAGATGGGGGTCCTTTGGACATTCCAGAGGATAGGAGAGGAGAAAATGTTTAGAGCATCTCAGTTACTGCCTTGCACATTGCAGTGACTAATCTCCTCAGAGCTCACTGATAGGCTCCCCTAAGTTCCAAGAGCTTCTCTCTCCAACGTCTCCATCCCCTGGCCGGGCTGGCACTAGACAGGCAGGATACGGACCTCTAACTGGGAGCGCCGAGCCCCATGGAGGGCTAGCACAGGACAGGATGTACCATGGGGCCGAGAGAGAGAGAGAGAGAGAGAGAGAGAGAGAGAGAGAGAGAGAGAGAGAGAGAGAAAGAGAAATACAGAAATTACAGAAAAAGAGAGAGAGCATACAGATGTAGGATCTTAATTTGAGCCAGTTTGCTACAGCAGGAAAATAATCATGCAGCAACTGGAAATGTGAATTATAATGTGGATTATAATTAATGGACAATTTTGTAGGGGTTGATACATTTTTCGTAAGGGAAAATCAAGTGAAATTTCTAAATGAAAATTATAAACTTCAGGAGCCTTTTTAAACCTGAAATACACTAAAAGCACTGCAGAAAATGTATCCTGCAACAGAGTGATCAAATTAAGATCCTACATCTGTTTTATTTAACTAGACAAGTCAGTTAATAACAAATTCTTATTTACAATGACGGCCTACCCCGGCCAAACCCTCCCCTAACCCAATTGTGCGCCGCCCTATTGGGCTCCTGATCACGGCCGGTTGCGATACAGCCTGGGATCGAACTCGGGTCTGTAGTGACGCCTCAAGCACTGCGATGCAGTGCCTTAGATCACTGCACCACTCGATCTGTAGTATGGAGCAGAGAAGAGATCTTGGATCTTGACACTTTTCACCACAGTAAATTGGACGCATAGAATTAGGAATAATAATACTTTAATAGGATCTAATTATATGGTTGGATGCCACTCCAATGTTCTACCTGTCACAGTGGTAGTTGTGCCACCAATGACAATTAGTTTCTGCAACACATTTGAGAGAAATGAACCAGAGTTTGCATTAAATCTAACCTGTAGTGCCAGGTTATACTACAGCAGAAAATGAAGCAGTACAGAGTAGCTACTGGGACTAAAGGTTAAAAAGGGGAGTTTCTGTATAATCTAAAACAGAATCAGTGGATGATACTAATTGGAATGCATGATACTAATCTGTAGGGGGCCGAAGTATGACATCACTCGGCGTTACTCAGGAACCTGGCATCAGATTTGAAGGATCTTCCGCTTCTGCACCCTATTGATCTATGTCAGATTAGTCTACATAATACTTTATAAACATGACATAACTGTTGTTGTAACTATCCATCACCTTTTGGCAAACAACCCCTGTGGTGTCACATATAAGGACGTAGGTTTGCTAGTGTCTTTAGGGTTTCCATGAATGGTTTTGACATGGATTGTGTCATGGTTAGATGGCATTATATGGGCTTTAGCCTTCATAATTCATAATTAACCCAGTGCCATGTTGCATTTACTGTAAGGTATTGTTCACTCAGTCCTTAATTTCTCATTGGAGACATCCAGGAGCTGATCATATTGTCAGAGTAGCCCCAGATGTCTCAGACAGAAAGCATCTAGATCTGGCACCATCTTGCGTTTTTTGTTATTGTCCACAGACTATAGATAAAAAGTTGAGCTCTGTTGATTTTCATCTCTCAGTGATCAATATGAGCACTACACATATTTCCCACCTATGGTGTGTTAGGGTTGGGCTGGGTGGATAGAGCCCACTGGATATCAAACTTCATGCTATACTGAACAAAAATATAAACCCATGCAACAATTTCAAAGATTTTACTGAGTTACATTCATATAAGGAAATCAGTCAATTGAAATAAATTCATTAGGCCCTAATCTATGTATTTCACATGACTGTGAATACAGATATACATATGTTAGTCACAGATACCTTTAAAAAAAAAGGGCCTCACAATGGGCCTCAGGATCTCGTCACGGTATCTCTGTGCATTCAAATTACCATCTATAAAATGCAATTGTGTTCATTGTCCGTAGCTTATGCCTGTCCATACAATAACCCCACCTCCACCATGGGGCACTCTGTTCACAATGTTGACATCAGCAAACCCCTCGCCCAAACGACGCCATACACGTGGTCTGCGTTTGTTAGTCCGGTTGGACGTACTACCAAATTCTCTAAAACAACGTTGGAGGCGGCTTCTCGTAAAGAAATTAACATTAAATTATCTGGCAACAGCTCTGGTGGACATTCCTGCAGTCAGCATGCCAATTGCACGCTCCCTCAAAACTTGAGACATCTGTGGCATTGTGTTGTGTGACAAAACTGCACATTTTAGAGTGGCCTTTTATTGTCCCCAGCACAAGGTGCACCTGTGTAATGATCATGCTGTTAAATCAGCTTCTTGATATGCTACACCTGTCAGGTGGATGGATTATCTTGGCAAAAAAGAAATGCTCACTAACAGGGACGTAAACAAATTTGTGCACCAAATTTGAGAGAAATAAGCTTTTAGTGCGTATGGAAAATTTCTGGGATATTTTATTTCAGTTCATGAAATATGTTATTTCAGCTCATGAAACATGGGACCAACACTTTACATGTTGCGTTTATATTTTTGGTCAGTGTAGATAAACCTCCCAACCCCCAATTAGCCAAGTAAGTCTTGAGCAAAATGTGTAACAAATCACCTTGGCTTACATAGCCTCAACATGGAGTTCACCAAAACATTTTGTGAAAATGTTCAATGCAATACAATGAATTAAATTCTTTAAAGTGCAATACAAGTCTTACAAAAGCATACTATACAAAGCTTTGAGAAACAAGAAGAAAATACATAAAGCTATCCATCTCAACAAACATCTTACGGCCAGATGTACTAGCTAAGCATTTGCATTTAAACGGCATAGTGAACATATCAAGTAAAGGTAGAAGACGGATTACATCTTTTGGCCTTTTGATTGGAAATAATCAAAATAATCCATCTAATCTGAATTTCACTTAAATGCACTAAATAGCTCATGCATTTCTTTTTTTCACACGTAACGACAGGTATTCTTTCATATAACATACAGTAAAACATAACTTCCTTCATTTTACAAAAAATAACTAATGATTGGTCCGTATGGAAACCCTTGCACGCTTGCAGTAAATATACTCATTACATTGAACTCACACCTACTATATGTGAAAATATAAACCACGTTCATATCTCGAAAGCTGTGAGGAAACACGTTTTTCATTTGATGATTTAGTTTCGTTATGCCACATCTGTTTTGTTGACACATTAATGTACAAGGAGAAGTGGAGGTAAAAAGAAACGACAACTGTTGAACTGATTTCAATGTCAATTTTCTTGCCTCTTGTGTATATGTGTAATTACATGTGAATTGTACTGTAAATATGAAATCTTTCGCTTAATAT